GAACCACTTTAGAGTATACATAAAAAGGACACGGGCCAAAAGAGATCGAGATATACACTATATTGCCAAAAGTATTGGTCGGCCTGCCTTTACACATACATGAACTTTAATGACCTCCCAGTCTTAGTCCGTAGGGTTCCATATTGAGTTGGCCCGCCCTTTGCAGTTATAACAGCTTCAACTCTTCTGGAAAGGCTGTCCACAAGGTTTATTAGTGTGTCTATGGGAATGTTACCTTCATTGGAATTATGGAGTCAAGCCCTGAAAAGCAACCCCTCTCAATAATCCCCCCTCCACTAAACTTTACACTTGGCATAAAGCAGTCAGGCAATTACTGTTCTCCTGGCAATGCCAAACTCAGACACATCCATCAGATTGCCAGACAGAGGTGTGATTAGTCACTCCAGAGAACATGTCTCGAGTCCAGTGGTGGCGTGCTTTACACCACTGCATCCGACGCTTTGCATTGCACTTGGTGATGTTATTTTGGAAAGTCCACAGTCAAAAAAAAAAACTTGCCATATCTCTTACTAAATATATTTAGGTTGTAATTTTTTTTAATCACAATTTTTGGGAAAATAAATGAAATTACTTTTTTTTTTTTTTTATACATAGCGATCACATTATTCCTGGGTCGTTCAAATCGGCCTGGTACCGGGAGCCGCAATCTGCTGTGTCCAATGCAAACAGCAGTCACGGGGCCACGCAGTCTACTCCTGAACCTGTACAGGCTGGATGACAGCATGTAAATCATTTAGCCTGCATGTGCTGTCCGCCCACGATGAATGTACTGTGGGCGGTTGTCAAGTGGTTAATGCCAAACCAAGTTTCTTCTATAGTCCTTGTAAACTCTTTGTTACTTTTGGGTGTTTTTCCAGGTTCACCATAGCGTCATTTTTTTCCCTCAAACTGTCTGCCTCATGACCAACTCCAACCTGTAGAAGCTCTGTATAATACAAATCAAACTACTGTCTTTAAATCGAGGTGCCCTTTAATCCAAGACACTTACTCAGATAGTTTTATCAATCTAAAACTAAATCTGTAAGATCTGGGCATTCAGCATTTGTGCCACAATTTTTGGTTTGTGCAAATCAAAATAAAGTGATCTATATAGTATAAAACTTTCATTTGGATAGATCAGTGGCCTTCAAACTGCTGCCCAGGGGCCAGATGCAGCCCTTTTGTTTGCTTTACCTGGTCCCTAGGCCATTATTTCCCTCTGTCAGCAACCGTGGGCATAGTCACTGACCGGACACTCTTCCTCCCTCTAATACGCCCATGTCCTCCTCTTCTCGAGTCCCCTGCCAGCACTCCTGGCTCCTCCCACCTGTCCTGGTGCCCCATAGCAAACAGCTTGCTGTTGGAGGCACCTGGGCACCGCGCTCCTGAGCCATGGCTTTGCCTGTCTATTCACACACAGAGCTGTGGCCTGGCCCCACGCCGAACCTTTCCTGATTGGCTCACTGACTGTAATGGCTCCCGCTGCTTCGTCAGCCAAGGCGGGCCAATGGCTCCCACTTCTGCCTCATGCAGTCACTAGTAAGAGTCCCGGAGAACCAAGACTCTCATGGACATCGCTGGATCGTGATGCGGCTCAGGTAAGTATTGGGGGGGGGGGGTAGGGGAGCTACACACAAGTTGTGGTTTTTTTTGTTTTGTTTTGTTTTTTTTTTTTTTTATTTCTGAATTAGGGGTGAGAAGGGTAACACACAAGTTTGGTTTTTTTGTTTTGTTTTGTTTTTTTTTTTTTTCTAGAATGGAAGGTAAAAAACCTTGAGCCTTTAGAACCACTTTAACTGCTTCCTGATTTTGCATTGCTGGGTAGGGGGGCGTGCGCCCTACCCGCAACACCAGTTCGCCTCCCTGTCAGCTCATACACACTGCTTTGAATGGCTGTGCACAGTCATGCAAATCGGTGTGCTTCCAGTGAAGCACATGGACACAGCCCCATAGTAAAACACACCCAGCACACAGTTGTCCCTTTTGATTGCCCCACATGTTAACCCCTTCCTGCCCAGTGCCATTAGTACAGTGTCGGTGCATTTTTGCATTTTATTAGCACTGATCACTGTATTGGTGTCACTGGGGATGTCAGTGACACCAAGTCAGTTCCCCCCAGTGTCAGAATGCCCGCCGCAGACCCACTATAAGTCGCTGATCGCATCTATTACTAGTAAAAATAAGAGGAAAAAAAATCCCCTATACCGCCATTTGTAAATGCTATGACTTTCACATAAACCTATTAATTTACATGTATTGGGATTTTTTTTTTCTTAGCAAAGACATGTAGCAGAATACATTTTGGCCTAAATTAGATTTTTTTACTTAGTGCAAAAAATAAAAACCGCACAGGCGATCAAATACCACCAAAAGTTCATTTTGTGGGAATAAAACGACGTAAATTCGGTGCAGCATTGCATGACTGTGCAATTGTCAATTAAAGTAATGTGAAAAATGACCTGGTCAGGAAGGGGGGTAAATCCTGTGGAGGGCAAGTGCTTTAACTACTGTTAAACTCTGTTACAACTGACCCTGGACAGTTCAAACCTTGCTCAGTTATTTACCTAAAAAAATCTCTATAACCTGGTGATCTCTTCCATGTTGTTGACGTGGGTTGCCTAGCTCGAAGTTAAGCCTGGGTTCACACTGATGTGGTGCAGAATTCGCAGCGGTTTCTGTGCAATATCCGCATCGCAATCGCACCCCGTTCATTGCGAACCGACCAAAATCGGTCCACAAAACACGGTGCGATGTGCAGAATCGGATCTCATAGGTGTGAATACCCATGAGATCCTATTCTAGTGCGGACCAAAAAAAAGGTCCTGCACACCTTTCTGGTGTGGATGAGGTGCGATATGAGCCATACAAAATATATGGATTGAATCGCACCACACAGAATTCACGTGTGATTAGCACAGACGTGCGGTTCCTGTGCGAATGACATGCGATATGCACCACACAAGTGTGAACCCAGGCTAAAGGAAGTTTATGGTCCCCATATACTTTCATTTTGTAACATCAGTATTGTAATAACAATACAAATCGTTATAATCTTACTTGAACATTTCCTTTTTCCTTATTTATTTTTTGAGTTCTTCCTGTCTGCTGGACATCCCTTTCCACAACTTCCCTGAAAACTGATTCCTGAAACTCCTCCGCTCAGCACCTCTAGATCAGAAGGCAGGCTCTGTAACCTATGTGACACAGCAGTGCTACTCACGGGGTATAGTGGATAGGTGTCACAGGGTATAGTGGATAGGTGTCACAGGGTATAGTGGATAGGTGTCACAGAATTCAAGGAAGTAAATGTGGGGGGGGAACCTTCACAATGTAAGTTGATAGACTTCAAGTTTGTGCAGAATATTAGGAGTAGGCTAGAAGCAAGTGAAATTCAATGTGAAAATGAATATTTTATATTTTGACTATATATACTTTTTACATGCTGAGGTTTTTTGCTGTTCCAGTGACTGAAATTGTGACCTTTTTATCATTTGTGAAACCTTACTGTGAATTCTAGGCTCTTTATGGTCTGTACTGCTTTCTATAAGAACAATCAGAAATCAGTCTTTTATCTCCGATGGCTATATCTTCAACAGGCATGGTCTAAAATGTATAGTGTGACAATTCTGGATTGTTTGGAGGATGTATGCTTGCTGGTGTAGTGTTCTTCCTTTTATGTATGCCATTTGTTTGGCTATCATTGAAGTACAAAGGTTTAAGTTTTGGAGCTAGCAGCAAATTGCATGTAAAATGACTTTGGTAATCAGTGTTTTTTTTTCCCAGTGGCAGAAATTCAAGTGGCTAAATGTGCTAAGGGAAGACTTGCTCCAAAAGACTTGCAGCTGTTTGGGGGCTGTACATGGTATACTTATGCACAGTAGGGTTTTTTTTTTTTTGTTCGTGGTTGTAAACCCTTAAACATATCCACTGAAAGCAGAACTCTCAGCAAATCTTTTTTTTCACCATGCAGTGGGGCTGGGCCCCCACTGCATTGGTCAACTGTACGGTTTTTGTTTTTTCTAGGGGTGAGCAGAAAGCTCATACTTGTCTGACCTGCTGATCCTCTGGAAAACCATGGTGTAGCGGTGGACCGTTCCTGTCTACAGATCATGCATTGAGCGTGCAAATATCAGGAACCGTCCATTTACAAGTTTGCTGGACCATGGTGCTGCAGGAACTGAATGGACCAGTCTTGTATGGGGAGGATCAGTGGGTTAGGTAAGTATATCTCTGCTGTCCTTTACCATAGAACAAAATGAGCAGTTAACCTGTGTAGTGTGGGCACACGCTCGCTGTACGGGCAAAAAAAAAAAGTTTGCCCTTGAAGTGACTAGTCTCAGGTGATACAAAGATAAAAAAACAAATCCTCCTACATAAGCTGTAATGGTTTATCTGAATCCCTCTGTCCTCCACAGCCTTCTAAATTACACAGATCAAAGGTTATTTCTCAGGTCCAGCAGGCAGTGGCAGGGATCCTATGTTGCATAGAGCACAGAGCTGAGTGCAATCTGAGGCTGTAGTGGAGGGAAAGGACAAATCCCCGCCAACAGTCTCATAGGGAAATATGCACAGCTGAGGCTGTCACCTGCCTTCTATGTGATGGAAGGGGGGGGGGTAGGCTGTCTTCCTGGACTCTGTGATGTTGGCATAACCTATCAGAGGTGACTTATGCACATGGGAAAACATACTAGGTGCTCCGGATTGCGGCACATACACACTTTGCAAGGATATACTTTATTTTTTTCCCTTTTTTTAGAGGTTTACAGCTACTTTTTGAAGGTGCGCTATATATATATATATATATAATTTTTTATTTTTTGTGACATTAAAGTCCTAGGCATGCTGTGTACATTTCATGGTACAAAGCCTCCAAAAATCTATTTTTATTTCCGGGTTGTAACTCAACAAAACAGGGAAAAACACCTAAGAGGTGAATACTTTTTTTTACGCATATTAGTAGATGTTTTGTGAAACTTATATCTGTGACTCTTGTCTTGCAGGCAATAATTGCAGCTCAGAGAAGAGGGGAAGAGGTGGAGACTTCCAAAAAATGTAAGTTCTGAATCATCAGGCAAAAAATGAGTGCAGTGGACTAAAGCTATGTACTGAAAAATAAAATCTAATACCGTACTTTAGATTCTTTATAAAATAGACATGCCCTGGGGCAGTTTTATAGAACGTTTGTTTAGCTCATTACATGAAAGTAAGGTTAATATAACTTGAATTACAAAATCTTCAGGTTTTTTTTTTTTTTTTTTTACTCAAATTAGTTGATGCAAAAATGAATACACCTCACAACAAAAACTACTAAATCTTGTATTTTGTATGACCTCCATGATTTGTAAGGACAGCACCAAGTATTCTAGGCATGGAATATACAAGTTGGTGACATATTGCAACATCTGTCTGTTTCCATTCTTCAAGAACGACCTCTTTTAAAGCCTGTATGCTGGATGGAGAGTGCTACTCAACTTATCTCTTCAAAATTCCCCATAGGTATTCGATTGGGTTCAGATGAGGAGACAATTTTTGTCTACTGAATTACTTTAGCCCTGTTCTTCATAAATGCAACCGTGACCTTAGATGTGTGCTTTTGGATCATTGTCATGGTGGAAAGGTGCACAACCGCCAAGGGCATGGAGTGGTCATATCTTCTCTTTCAATATAGAGCAGTACATCTGTGAATTCATGATACTGTAGGCACCATGCATTTTTCTTTGTTCTCATCTTTGTACTCTGGAGTGATGAGACAAAGATAAAGGTTTTTGGAACTGATGGGTTCAAAACTGTATGGTGTCGCAGAGGCCCAGTAATCTTCTTTTTCAGCATGGACTCTGTAAAATTCTAGGCGGGCTTTTTTGTGCATGGGCTTTAGGAGAGGCTTTCTTCATGGATGACACCCATGCATGCCATTCCCCTGCGGTGTGCACTGTATTGTGTCATGGGGAAACCATCACCCCAGTTTGTAACAGTAGTGGTGTGAACCTCCTGCGCTCCCAAGTGTTTAAACTAAATAAAAAATATATATAAATCCCAGGGGAAGCTGCTAACATTAAATCATATACCAGTGATTGTGATAAATAAATACAATAAAGAATGTAGCGCTACTCCCAAAAAAATATATCCACACGTAAATAATAAAAAAATGTAAAATCACAAAATTTCATAAAAATAAAAAATATATATATAAATGTGACAGTGATATCAATTAATAATAATTAGTGCCCATGAATCATTGAATCCACACAATAAAATAAATAACTCAAAACGTGAAAAAACGTTTCCATATATATGTGTATATATAACACACACATATATATATATATATATATATATATATATATATATATATATATATATATATATATATATATATATATATATATATATCACACGTGCCTCTTGTGTAGTGAAAAAAACATTAAAATGGTACAAACAACAGTGCTCGAAAAGTCCAATAAATGATGCTGGTGACCAAAGAAAAAACAGTGCTTCCAATAACTACTGTTAGTGACCATAAACACAACTCGTGTAGATCTCTGAGTGAATGTGAATCTGACAATCCGACCACCATCTGGATAAGCCTCTCACCTCATCACTTCGACCCTTGCGGATCAAAGAGCTTTTGTGGATCCCCCTCACGGATCCTCCAAGATAGCTATCACTCCAAAAGTTGCTCTCTCAGAATTAAATATTCCACCTCTGGCTCTTCTCCAGGTAAGTATTGCAGCATCAATCTCTCAAATGAGACAAAATGGATCCTCCCATAGTGCAGTATATTTTATTTGTTACATAGGGACAGATAACATCAAACTTTTCCACTTACGTAGCAGCTTGACGTGGTGACGTGTTTCCGGTGTGGCGGCCATCTTGGTACACCTGTGTATTCAGCTGTACACCCATACATACATACCCTCATCCGAAAGCATGAGGTTCTGGACTGGCTGCTACCTAAGTGGAAAAGTTTGATATCTGTCCCTATGTAACAAATAAAATATACTGCACTATGGGAGGATCCATTTTGTCTCATTTGAGAGATTGATGCTGCAATACTTACCTGGAGAAGAGCCAGAGGTGGAATATTTAATTCTGAGAGAGCAACTTTTGGAGTGATAGCTATCTTGGAGGATCCGTGAGGGGGATCCACAAAAGCTCTTTGATCCGCAAGGGTCGAAGTGATGAGGTGAGAGGCTTATCCAGATGGTGGTCGGATTGTCAGATTCACATTCACTCAGAGATCTACACGAGTTGTGTTTATGGTCACTAACAGTAGTTATTGGAAGCACTGTTTTTTCTTTGTCACCAGCATCATTTATTGGACTTTTCGAGCACTGTTGTTTGTACCATTTTAATGTTTTTTTCACTACACAAGGTGTGTGTGTGTGTGTGTGTGTGTGTGTGTGTGTGTGTGTGTGTGTGTGTGTGTGTGTGTGTGTGTGTGTGTGTGTGTGTGTGTGTGTGTGTGTGTGTGTGTGTGTGTGTGTGTGTGTGTGTGTGTGTGTGTGTGTGTGTGTGTGTGTGTGTGTGTGTGTGTGTGTGTGTGTGTGTGTGTGTGTGTGTGTGTGTGTGTGTGTGTGTGTGTGTGTGTGTGTGTGTGTGTGTTTTCACATGTTTTGAGTTATTTATTTTATTGTGTGGATTCATGGGCATTAATTGATATCACTGTCACATTTATTTATATATTTATGAAATTTTGTGATTTCACATTTTTTATTATATATGTGTGTGTGTATATATTTTTTTTTGGGAGTAGCGCTAAATTCTTTATTGTATTTATTTATCACCCCAGTTTGGCTTTCTACTTCTTTAGCTGACTGCAGTGAACTTTCATGGTGATTTTCTTCAACCCTTCTCATCAGAAAACACTCCTACCAAGGTGTTTAACTTTGTGGACATTTCTGTGAGATGATTGCAGTTCCATCTTTGTTACATTTTTGTATCACTTTAGCTACAGTATTCTGACTGATAAGTAAAGCTGATCTTCTTGTAGCCTTCACCTTCTTGTGTAAAAAAAAAAAAATGAGAAATGACAGTTCTCGTTCATGTGGTGCCATTGCTGACAGCATGAAATGGGAAGGGGGTTTCTTTGTTAAGTAATGCCTTTTTATAATCAACTGTCTGCTGGACACCTGTTTAATGAATAATTAGACTCCCCTGTAGTTGAATTCTTGTTAATTAGGATTTTGTCAGAAATGTAGCTTTGCTTCTAAGACTTTCATTGGAGTGTATTCCTTTTTGCAACATGATCTTGAATTAATCTGTTAAGAAAAAGTACTATTTTGTGTGTGCAAATTCTGTAGTATAGTGTCCCATAGAAAATGTTGATTCAGAAAGGAAAGTAAAGTTTTCTGACAAATCTGTTTGGGTGTATTTATTAATGCTGACGTGTGTGTGTTTTGTATGTGTATGTATGTGATATATATGTATGTATATGATAGATATATTGCTCAAAAAAATTAAAGGAACACTTTGAAAACACATCAGATTTCAATGGGGAAAAATTTCATGCTGGATATCCATGCTGAATATGGACTGTGTAATGTGTTAGGAATGTAAGGATGCCCCATCGTTTAATGAAAATTACCAACCTACAGAGGACTGAATTCAAAAACACCCCGAAAATCAAAGTGAAAAAATGATGCAGCAGGCTAGTCCATTTTGCTGAAATTTCATTGCAGCAACTCAAAATGGTACTCAGTAGTTTGTATGGCCCCCATGTGCTTGTATGCATGTCTGACATTGGGGCATGCTCCTAATGAGACGACGCATGGTGTCCTGGGGTATTTCCTCCCCGATCTGGACCGGGGCATCACTGAGCTCCTGGACTGTCTGAGGTGCAACCTGGCGGCGTCTGGACCGAAACATGATATCCCAGAAGTGTTCTATTGGCTTTAGGTCAGGTGAGCGTGGGGGCCATTCAATGTTATCCATTCCTTCATCCTCCAGGAACTGCCTGCATACTCTCACCAGGAGGCCGGGCATTTTCGTGTACAAGGAGGAACCCAAGACCCACTGCACCAATGTAGGGTCTGACAATGGGTCCAAGGATTTCATCCTGATACCTAATGGCAGTCAGGGTGCCATTGTCTAGCCTGTAGAGGTCTGTGCGTCCCTCCATGGATATTCCTCCCCAGACCATCACTGACCCACCACCAAAACGGTCATGCTGAACAATGTTTGAGGTAGAATAACGTTCTCCATGGCTTCTCCAGATCCTTTCATGTCTGTCACATGTGCTCAGGGTGAACCTGCACTCATCTGTGAAAAGCACAGTGCACTGGTGTTCGGTGGCAATTGCCAATCGAGCTCTATGGTGCCGGGCAGTGAGCACAGGGCCCGCTAGAGGATGTGGGTCCCTTTAGGCCACCCTTATGAAGTCTGTTTCTGACTGTTTGATTATAGACATTAAAACCAGTGGCCTGCTGGAGGTCATTTTGTAGGGCTCTGGCAGTGCTCATCCTGTTCCTCCATGCACAAAGGAGGAGCAGGTACCGGTCCTGCTGATGGGTTAAGGACCTACAGCCCTGTCCAGCTCTCCTAGAGTAACTGCCTGTCTCCTGGAACCTCCTCCATGCTCTTGAGACTGTGCTGGGAGACACAGCAAACCTTCTGGCAATGGCATGTACTGATGTGTTATCCTGGAGGAGTTGGACTGCCTGTGCAACCTCTGTAGGGTCCAGGTATTTCCTCATGGTACCAGTAGTGACACTGTCCCTAGCCAAATGCAAAACTAGTAAAAACAGCCAGAAACGATGAGTAGGGAAAAAAGTCAGTGGCCCCCACCTGTAAAACTCATCTCATTGTTGCCCATCTAGTGCAGCTGTTGGTAATTTCATTAACATCAAAGCAGCTGAAACTGATTAACAGCCCCCTCTGCTATGTGACTGACCAGATCAATATCACAGGAGTTTAACTGACTTGATGCTATACTCTGATTTAAAAAGTGTTTTAAGAGGTAGGTGTGTGTGTGTGTAGTGTGTGTGTGTGTGTAGGTGTGTTATTCTTATTTATTTTTTTCCTAAATCCCGCAGTTCTCTTCTAAGCATACAAGTTCACTTAATGTACATATCTTATTGATATCTGTCTCCAGGGGCTGCAGGACAGAATAAGCAGCACACAATAACCAAGAACACAGCCAAGCTGGACAGAGAAACAGAGGAACTGCACCACGACAGAGTGACATTAGAAGTGGGAAAAGTCATTTCGCAAGGCAGACAGAGTAAAGGCCTCACACAGAAAGACCTGGCCACTGTAAGCATTTAGACCCTACTGTTCTCTAGGCAGCTGAATTGACTTCCATGGGGAGGTACTTTAAAGAGCCAAAAATTACTTGCCTGATATGTCATGGAACAGAGTATTTCTTTCTTTCTTTCGGGGCTTATGAACATGGGTGTAAAATTTGCTGTGTTCAGATATGTACTTTTATATGGATCTCTACGCAGTCTATGCACACTGGTTTTTGGTCCAGTGTTTTTCTGCATAAACCAAAACTAAAAAACTCTTCGCTGTAATTTCCACTGTACACATGTAAATGTTAGTGACATTGGCATAGTATTGTTTTTTTGGCAAGTCCTGTGTAGCGGCTGCCTAATGAATGGCTTTATTAGTCAAGGGAGAAGTGGCCATACAAGCTGCCAGCTATATGTGCTGTAAGTCCATTTGATTCAGAAGCAGTGCAGACAACTTTTTATGCAGGATCTTGCTTGCAACAAGATCCTGCATAATTCTTTATGGCCATGTGCATGAAGCCCAATGTTGACATTATAGGCAATGAGACCTTCTATAGCAAGACTGACATCTTGACTAACATATTGGTTCACTTTCAGGATGCTTTGTTTTAAAAGGTTTTTTTTTCTGGTGCAATAATTTTCTTGTTGCATGCATAATGACAGTACAACTGATCACCAACACAAGGGGTATAGAACAAAGAACATGCTATGAAAGCATGAGAGATGCAAACGGCAACATTTGTAAACCATACAATGTAAAGTATCCACAGTGCAGCCATACGTCCAGGGCCATGGGTCCGCCTAAGTGACCCAGGCTCGAAGGCCTGGGGGCTTAACGCAAGAGTATGGGGGGAAAAAAAAACAAAATACTAAACACTATTAAAAAAAAAAAAAAAAAAAAAAAGAGGAAGGGGAAAGAGAGAGGGGGGGGGTGGTGGAGCCTGCAGGCCTGCGTAATGCCGGCCATAGATGGTTCGAAATTCGGACAATTTTTGCACTGCTAGTGGGTTAATTTGTCGGCCGGTTTTTGCGTTTTTTCCACTTTCGGATTATAGGTCATGTTGGAAAATTTGTGGAAGACTACCGATTTTTGCGTCAATGATGGTCAAATCGTACAATCATTTTTACGAAAAAAGGAATGCGCATTTGCCGTGACCTGGAAGGAACAGAAGTTTTGCCTGTTATATGGGGTGAACTTTGACTTTGTCGGCTGATTTTCGTAATCCATTGGTGGTTACGTCGGTTTAACGAACGACCCTATTTTCGTTTATCGGATGAAAAAACGCCCGGTTTTCGAGCCATCTATGGCCTGCATATGGATCAAAAATCAGAAGTCGTCCAAGCTTAGTGGAGACAAGATAGGAAGGGCGTATGACTACCAGGGGTTCCATACTTTAAAAAATTTAGCATGGGAATCATGCAAAATACTGTACATTTTTTTTCATTCAACATTAGAGTGGTGAAGTTGGTTTTCACCAATTTGAAATGGTATTGACTGTTTCTTCCATGCCTTGGCTATAGCACGTTTGGTGGTGATTAACAGGTAGGTAGCAAGGTTTTGTTGGTAGGAAAATAAACCCTGGATCGGGCAATGCAGCAGGGCTTGTTTAGCATCTTTGTGAATGGGGCTATGGAATAGGGTGTATAGGACACCAAAAACCTTGGACCAGAACCCTGTGAGACACGGACCTGACAGCTGAAACTTTTGTACACTATCCAGGGGCTGCAGCCACTGGGATTGTGTATAAAACTGACAGGCAGACTCCTGTCTGCCAGGTGGATGCAGTCAGGTGGCTCTGCTGCCAACGATTGCTTTCACAGCCCCTGGTTCTACTCCCCTCCCCTTTTGTGTGACCTGGAAAGCGATGTTCATGACATCACTTCCAGGTCACAGCTGTCACTTTCCTGGCTAGAATAATGGATCACAGGAGACATGCAGGGTAGGGTCTCTTAGACTCTGCATGTCTCGATTAGAGAGAACCTGTCACCAAAAAATCATCATATAGGGGATGGCCCACCCCCACATATGCACGAATGTAAACGCACACGTCAGGGTGCCTACTCGTGAAATCATCGATTGTGATACACATGTTACATATTGCCGTGCACACTGGAGCAAGCACAAAAATTCTAGCACCAGACCACCTCTGTAACCCTATAACCTATAGAGGCTTTTGAAGCACCGTCTATATAAAATATGGGGTACTGAAGTTTGTCACCATTTCAGACGCACACAAATTTTTAAGGTTTGGTATCTATTTACTCGGCACAACCCCCTCTTATTTATTTTACAAAATATAGGTAATTTTATTTAGTTTGTTAAAATTCACTTTTAGTGTGATTTGTACTGAAATTTGCAATATCGTGTGACATAAAATTGCAACTACCACTATTTTATTCTCTAGGGTGTCTGCTTTCAGAAAATGTTTGGGGAGTTTTGTGTAATCTTCAGGCCTAAAAATTTTTTTTTTAAATGTGTGCAAAAAATGCAAAAACGACTCTGGCAGCAAAAGGGTTAATGGGACATTTTGATATGGAATATCAGGCCTTGCTCTGATCTTCAGGATCAATGGGGGTTCCCAGATCTCTCTCCGAGCTAGACTTGTATGAAGTAGAAGAAAGTGAGTCGATCGCATTTAAGGGGGAACAGATTGAGGAGATACCTGTCGGCACTCCCCAGGAGCTATGTTCAAAGGCCATAGATTGAAAGGGAAATGTAGAATTCGGTCTCGAAGTCACCCAATGGCAAAGTTCAACGTAACGGAAGAATTCCGCCAGCGGTGCTCCATGAGTCTCACAGATGGAGGGGCAAGAAGGGAAGGTGTGGGATGTAAGAAAGGTGGACCTGGGTGAAGATGTGTGTCGACACCAGGTGAATATTGCCAGCTGTTCCTGGCCTGGGGGAAAGAGACTGTTGTTAAGCAGTGGCAGGAGGGGTAAGAAGTTTCAAACTCTCCAGTTGTGGGGCTAAGGGATGGAGAGTGTCGCTAGTGAGGGAACCACAATAGAGCCATCATGGGGGTTGCTGCACAAGGAGGTTGGGAAGCTCCTGAAGCACCCACAAGGAGATGTCCATGGTGGCATGGAGCAAGGTGAGTTAGATTTGTGCCACCCTGTAGTACTTCGATACATTAGGAACCCCCAAGCCTTCTCTTAGTCTGTGGGTGTAAAGGGTAAAGCAATAGACTCTAGGGCACTTCTAAGCCCAGATAAAAGTGAATTCTGTTTTCCTGTAAATGTAAGAAAAAAAAAGAAGGTACTTGAATGGGTTAAGTTCTGAACTAATTTTATTTGGTAATTTTGGCCATGTGGACACAGCCTATCCATTATACGTGTTTTTTTTTTTTTTGTTTGTTTTTTTTTTCCACTTTGGACAGAAAACCCATAAGGAAATTGAGGCGACTGAGTTGTTGGCATTTCTGCCTGTGTGAATTTTTCCTTAGTGCCCCATTTTTTTTTTTTTTTTTTTTTTTCTCAAAGTCCAGCAAAAAATCATCATAGCTTAATTTGGCTCTCTTCAAACTGTTCGAATAGTGTGTGTGTGTGTGTGTGTGTGTGTGTGTGTGTGTGTTAGCTGCTTTGAGGAATAGGAACTGATATAAATTTATTCAATTGTAAAGAGCTGTATTCACAGTTTAAATATGGAATACAAAAGGTGTCTCCAGTGCCTTTTTAATGTTGGTTGTATTTTGATTTCAGAAAATTAATGAGAAGCCACAAGTTATTGCAGATTATGAGAGTGGAAAAGCTATTCCCAGCAATCAAGTCATGGGAAAGATTGAGAGAGCAATTGGTAAGTCTCCAGTGTATGCGTACGGTCTAGTATGTTATGTTGGAGCACCTTTAGGAGTAAATGAAGAGCTGTCTGTTGCCTGTTATAATTCAATGATATTCATGTTCCTCTGATCTCATCTCATGAAGTTCCCAACAAAATATAATTGGTTTTAAAATAAACCTGTGCTGAGAGGTTGCTGACAACTTCTGAAAATGTATTTGTATGGCTGTCATTCTGATCCAAATTGGTTTGGTGCTTTAAAGTGACACTAAACATCCCTATTCTCGCGCGCACGTCCATATATATTTGGACACATATTTTTTTTCAGGTATTTAGCAAAACCTATTCAAGCTAGTTATATAATGGATATGGGTTGAAAGTGCACACTCTCTTAATTGGAGGGTATGTACATCCACATTGGAGGAAAGCTTTAGGTATTACAGCTTAAGAGTAGCCATCCCCCCTTTTTCAAGGGACCAAAAGTAATTGGACAATTGAATCAAAAGCGGTTTCATGGCCAGATGTGGGCTACTCCTTCGTTATTTCTTCATCAATTAAGCAGGTAAAAGGTCTGGAGTTGATTCTGTGTGTTTTATTTGCATTTGGAATCTATTGCTGTGAACCTACAACATGCGTTCAAAGTAGCTGTCCATGCCAGTGACACAGGCCATTGCAAGGCTTAAAAAAACAAAACAAATCCATCAAAGAGCTAGCAGCAATATTAGGAGTGGCCAAATCAACAGTTTGGTAAGAAGAGGAAAGAAGAACGCACTGGTGAGCTCAGCGACATAAAAAGGCATGACGTCCTTGAAAGACAACAGTGGTGGATGATTGCTGGATCCTCTCTATGGTAAAGAAAAACCCAATTACAACATCCAGAGAAGTGAAGGACACTCTCCAGGAGGTAGGTGTATCATTGTCAAAGTCTACAATCAAGAGAAGACTTCACAAGAGCAAATACAGAGGGTTCACCACAAGGTGCAACCATTCCGAAGCCTGAAGAATAGAAAAGCCAGTTTATACTTTGCCAAAATACATCTAAAAAAAAAAAAGCCAGACCAGTTCCGGAAAGGCATTCTTTGGATGGATGAAATTAAGACTAATCTGTACCAGAATGACGGGAAGAAAAAGAAGGCTTCTTCTGGAGAAGGCTTGGAACAGCTCATGATCCAAAGCACACAACGTCATCTGTAAAACATAGTGGAGGCAGTGTGATGGCATGGGCGTGCACAGCTTCCAGTGACACTGGGTCATTGGTGTTTTATTGATAAGACAGAAGCGGCCAGATGTATTCTGCAGTGTTTAGATATACTGTCAGCCCAGATTCACCCAAATGCAGCAAAGTGGATTGGACGGCGCTTCACACTAAAGATAGACAATGATCCAAAACACAATGCAAAAGCAACCCAGTAGCTTTTGAAGGAAAATAAGTGGAACATTCTGCAATGGCTGAGTCAATCGCCTGATCTCAACCCAATTGCGCATGCATTTCATTTGCTGAAGGCAAAACTAAAGGTAGAAACAAAGCACAACTGAAGACCGCTGCAGTTAGAGCCTGGCAAAGCATCAGAAAGGAGGAAACCCAGTCTTTGGTAATGTTCATGGGTTCCAGACCTCAGGCAGGCATTGCCAGTAAAGGATTCTCAACAAAATATTACAAATGAACATTTTATTTATGATTATATTCATTTGTCCAATTTACTTCTGCTCTTTTTGAAAAGAGGGATGGCTACTCTGTAATTCCTAAACCCTTCCTCGAATTTGGATACATTCCCTCAAATTAAACGAGTGTGCACTTTCAGCCCCATATCCATTATATCATTATAGCTTGAATATGTTTTTGTAAATACCTGGGAAAAAAAACTAAAATTGTGTGTGATACATACACAGGGGTACCTTGGTTTACGAATGCCTTGGTTAACGTAACTTTCAGTTTACGAATGAAAATAATGCCTCCGGTTTACAAATTTATTTTTTTTTTATTTTTTTTTTTTATTTATTTTTTTTTTTTTTGCATACGAAGTGTATGTCGGTGCTGATTTTTCAATGCAATCGATGGCTTTTTTTTTTTTTTTTGTCTTCACTATAGCTCACAGAATTAGCTGTCGCTTTCCCTGGAGCTAAAGGATACTTTGTTTCTTTTATCTCGGGAAACAAACAAAAAGGAAACATATTTGTTTCTTTTTAACTGAGGGAAATAAACTAAAAAGGAAACTTTCTTTCTATTTACATTTAAAAACCGCGCACTGACCTATAGTGACAGCTTCTTCTTCTCCTTCCTCCCTCCTTCCGTTCTTTCCTTTCCTCCTTCCGTTCTTCCTTTCCTCCTTCCGTTCTTCCTTTCCTCCTTCCGTTCTTCCTTTCCTCCTTCCGTTCTTCCTTTCCTCCTTCCGTTCTTCCTTTCCTCCTTCCGTTCTTCCTTTCCTCTTCCGTTCTTCCTTTCCTCCTTCCGTTCTTCCTTTCCTCCTTCCGTTCTTCCTTTCCTCCTTCCGTTCTTCCTTTTCCTCCTTCCTTTCCTCCTTCCGTTCTTCCTTTCTCCTTCTTCCCCCCTCTGCAATGGTTTAATTGGTTTTCAGTGCATTCCTATGGGGAGCTGTGTTTCGGTTTACGAATTTTTCGCAATACCAAACATCCCGGAGAACGCATTTAAATTCGTAAACTGAGGTACACCCTGTTATATCTACAGTCATGGCCCGAAATTGTTGGCACCCTTGATATTTTTCCTGAAAATCAAGTATTTCACACAAAAAAAGGTATTGCATTCATTTAACACATGTTTTGCTATACACATGTTTATTCCCTTTGTATGTATTGGAACAAATATAAAACAGAGGCAGAAAAGCAAATATGACATAATGTCACACAAAACCCCAAAAATGGGCTGGACAAAAGTATTGGCACCTTAACTTAATATTTGGTTGCACACCCTTGGAAAACATAACTGAAATCAGTCGCTTTCCTATAACCATCAATAAGCTTCTGACACCTCTCACCCGGAATTTTTGGACCACTCTTCCTTTGCAAACAGCTCCAGGTCTCTCTTATTGGAAGGACACCTTTCCCAACAGCAATTTTAAGATCTCTCCACAGGTGTTCAATGGGATTTAGATCTGGGCTCATTGCTGGCCACTTCAGAAACTCTCCAGCGCTCTTCTTTGCCATCCATTTCTGAGTGCTTTTTGACGTATGTTTGGGGTCATTGTCCTGCTGGAAGACCCAGGATCTTGGACGCAAACCCAGCTTTCTGACACTGGGCCCTACAGTGCGACCCAAAATCCTTTGGTAATCCTCAGATTTCATGATGCCTTGCACACAGTCAAGGCACCCAGTGCCAGAGGCAGCAAAACAACCCCAAAACATCATTGAACCTCCACCATATTTTACCGTAGGTACTGTGTTTTGTTCTTTGTAGGCCTCATTCCGTTTTTGTCGGTAAAACAGTAGAATGATGTGCTTTACCGAAAAGCTCTATCTTGGTCTCATCTGTCCACAAGACGTTTTCCCAGAAGGCTTTTGGCTTACTCAAGTACATTTTGGCAAACTGTAGTCTTGCTTTTTTATGTCTCTGTGTCAGCAGTGGGGTCCTCCTGGGTCTCCTGCCATAGCGTTTCATTTCATTTAAATGTCGACGGATAGTTCGCGCTGACACTGATGCTCCCTGAGCCTGCAGGACAGCTTGAATGTCTTTGGAACATGTTTGGGGCTGCTTATCCACCATCCGGACTATTCTGCGTTGCAATCTTTCATCATTTTCCTCATCCGTCCACGACCAGGGAGATTAGCTACAGTGCCATGGGTTGCAAACTTCTTGATAATGTTGCGCACTGTGGACAAAGGCAAATCTAGTTCTCTGGAGATGGACTTGTAACCTTGAGATTGTTGATATTTTGCCACAATTTTGGTTCTCAGGTCCTCAGACAGTTCTCGTCTCCTCTTTCTGTTGTCCATGCTTAGTGTGGCACAGACAGACACACAATGCAAAGGTTAAGTGAACGTCTCTCCTTTTTTATCTGCTTTCAGGTGTGATTTCTATATTGCCCACACCTGTTACTTGCCCCAGGTGAGTTTACAGGAGCATCACATGCTTGTAACATTCTTATTTATCCGCAGTTGTGAAAGGGTGCCAATACTTTTTGTCCAGCCCATTTTTGGAGGTTTGTGTGACATTATGTCGAATTTGCTTTCTTTCCTCCCTTTTTTTGTTTTGTTCCCAATACACACAAAGGGAATAAAAATGTGTATAGCAAAACATGTGTTAATGCAATACGTTTCGTGAGAAATACATGATTTCCTGGAGAAATAAATCAAGGGTGCCAACAATTTCGGCCATGACTGTATATATCTCCAGGCGATCAAATACCACCAAAAGAAAGCTCTATTCGTGGGGAAACAAAGGACGTAAATTTCATTTTGGTTAGGCGTTGCATAAAGATGCAATTGTCGTTTTTTTAAAGTAATGCAGCGCCTTTAACACAAAAAACGACCTGGTCAGCAAGGGGGGTAAATCTTCTGGAGGGCAAGCAGTTTAAACATCAGCTTGCTTTTGTGGGTTTTCTTTGAGTAGAATTCCAGATTTGCTAAGATTTTAAATATTTTCATTTGGGCCAAGGTGCTCCACATAAATTGTATTTTATGCATTTTGTGCAGTGCAGCCTATTTTTGCAGGATTGTTTTTAAAATCGATTATTCAGTTCCTTGGTTTGCACTCTAGGTGCTTGCTTAGATTTTGCTGTTTTAGAGTATGATAAAAGAAAATTTGGGCAGTTACCAACCCCTGTTTTACAGGCCTCAAGCTACGTGGGAAGGACATTGGGAAGCCTCTGGAAAGTGTCCCAAAGAAATGAAAACAAAGCCTCGAAATCAGTGACCCCAGCTGATCTCGACCAGTCTCATGTGGGACTGGGGTTTTACATTGCCAATCTGTACGCATCGGGGTTTTGGACTTTACTAGACAGGACAGACTGAACGCAATCTTGTTACCTGCTGTAAAAAACAAAAGTATGCATCTCTTCCAGATAACACAAAAAATATGAAACGTAAGGTTTCTGCCAGGCCCAGCAGGTTAAAATGTGTGGGCAGATATTGGATGCTTTTATTTTTTATTTTTTTTTTTCCCACACACAGGTGTGGA